ATACTCAAATATATTTCATCTAAAGTATTTTACATTATTTAAATTATCATAAAGACACAAAATATTTGAATAGTTTTAACTAAAATATTAAAATTTTGTTTTCGTAACTGGATATTTATCCGAAACACCTATCCCCCTCCCCAAAAATCAGTTTTACCCCGATTAATCTAAAATTAATCCTAGAAATCGTAACCAAACCGTTATCATATTGGAACCAAAAATTTATCTGATATTAGTCGGTTATTATAATTATTACCAAACTGAGCTCAAACCAAAAGAATCGAACCGAACGCAAATCAATTTATATAGATAAGAGAACAGATCTTATATCTGTAGAATTAAAAAAAACTATGAACATAAAGAATCCAACAAAAGTTGAACCCAAAATCAAACCGCAGTCCTATTACATTTAATACGATCATAGTTTTTGAAATACGGTAATAACCGATGACTTATGAATATATTATACTTTTCCAAATTAAGTTAAACCCGCGCCGGTGCGCGGGTCAAGATCTAGTATCCATTAAAGATAGAGTCCATTAAATACTAAACTCACTACCAATCATATTCATAATCATATGGGATGTCTATAGGTGGTCCATAAAAGACCATTAAAACATACTAAAATTATAAGAGAATTTGAATTTCATATACAAGAATAAGTAGAATAAGTGTCATATTTGTAAAGGATCAAAAGATGAATTACTGAACAATTTTTAGACCAAAATTCCTCTATTGCTAGAACTGAAACTTATTAAAACTTATCATAATAAATTTAATTAAAAACTTAGTTTACCAAAAAAAAAATTAATTAAAAGAAGGAAACTACAACTTAATATATTAATGCATATTTTTTAGTAATTTTATATTTCTATATTTCTAAACCAATAAGATTTCAAGAATTGCAATCAATGTTTTTGAAATTTATATCCACATGGACTTGATGACATGTCATCCTATGTGGTAGTGTTTAGAGGAAGGGATTCTAAACCAATAAGATTTCAAGAATTGCAATCAATGTTTTTGAAATTTATATCTACATGGACTTGATGACATGTCATCCTATGTGGTAGTGTTTAGAGGAAGGGATACATTACTTTATATAATAGATATTCATATTGATGTACACAATCATAAAATAACATATAAATTATGGACAAAAGAATTTGATAACTCATGTCAAGCCTTTTGTTTCATATATTAACAAAAGCTACAGATATCGTTTATGATTCTTGTACCTGTGTTGCATTGTCATAGAGAATATCTCCCTCTCTTATTATGTGGGCAGTTCAGATCAATACACATTCTTGGATATACTTTTGCATCAAACATAGCATGAACCCTACTTGAACTGCCCAAGCTATCATTTTTAACAACTCTTTTGTCATTTTATGTGAAGCAGAAGGATCTATATATGGTCATGTAAATTTCGTAAGATAATGCACACTCCCTTAATTGTTCTTTCCATCCATTCGTAGCAGTTTAACATCTAGACGTTTAGCTAATTGTGCATTCGCATGATAGAGTCACTCAGAAGCTGTGCGATTGTGACTGTCGGTACCATAAAAGCGTTTCAAGTGGTTTATAGTGTGTGTGTGTATAAATGATGCTTAGCTCAAGAGTGTGTAAACAATTAAAGTGTACACTAAAAATATCCTCTAATGGCTTTGATATGCATTCCCATCGCTTGCTTTATTTTCTTCCTTTACTTCTTCGTCAAGAAACCAATTAAGAGCTTCATTACAACGAACTGGTCCCTTGTCGGGATGCTTCCGGGCCTGTTCAGCAAAGATACAACGTCCGAGAACATAAGATAGATCCCGAATGAGATAAGGGAGACTAAGCCGGCAAAAATCACACCTTTCAAGAGCAAAAAGTGTCTTTAAAAGCTAAAAGATTATTCGCATACTTTCCACCTATTCGGTTACTCGCTTTTCTTCCTCCAATCGAGAAAAACATCTTCTTCCATTTTGTTTGTTCCTTCAATTCTCGTGTGTCTGTTCCTTGTTGTTGTTGGGCCACTATCAATAGCTCCCACTATAAACTTGCTATGATCTCATCCAAAAAACCTTCTAGGAGGTTTTGATTTGTGAAACACTTGAACAATGAGACTTGACGAGAAAATAAAAACAGAGAGTAGAGTCTGGAACTTATTATTTCACCAAGACAACTCAAACTTTAATAAATATCTTACATAACTGGACGGACCCGGAAACTGAAAAATGAAACGTAACCAACAAGAAAAGAACAAATTGAGTCTTTCATTTTCACTGTAAGAGACACCACCCATTACCAAGAAGCCATTAATTTTTTCCTTAGCCTTTGGGTAAACTAGCATATTTTTTAGGTTATGCTGCTATATTCCCCTCTGCTTGACTCTCAAATTCCTCATTTTTGGCTTCAGCCTTTCCTAAAATAGTTTAGTCTCTATGTCATATTCAACCTCCAAATTCACTGAATACCTCAGTGAATCTGGTATTTCGCATCCCGGACACTTCCTCATCGAGATTTTTTCCATCTTCTGCAACTTTTTCAATGCTAAGCAATCAGAAATATCCAGAAACCGTAAATCGCTGAGCCTCCCAGTCAATTCAGGCAGTTCATAGAGGTTAATACAAGAACACAACCTCAACACTTGAAGATTACTCAAGTTACCTATACCCTTTGGAAGTACAGAGAGCTTGCCACAATTTGTGATGCTAAGTTTCTTATATGAAACAACTTCTGAGACCCAATCCGGTAACTCATCAAGAACATAGCAATAATCTATGTCAATCTCCTGTAAACTTGGTAGAGCTTCACGGATAGCTATCTCTTCTATGTTGTAGCCTTGTAGGAAACTTCACGATCACGGAACTGCACATGAACATAGATAGCTTCTCGAGACTGCCAAGTCGTGAGAGGAAAACGTCCAGCAATTGACTGAAATTTTCTCAAATATGATCCATTTCAGGTTGCCTAACGAGCTAAGGCACGACAAGTTGGTCAACTTTGCAGGACCAAGACCGTGATTTATGATAATTCACAACCTTCAGTTTCTTCATAGTGGCAATGAAGTTTGGTAATGCATAGCTTGATGAGGAGAGATGAAGAACTAAAGCCTCAACATTGGGGCAATCCATTTCAGCCCAAGTCGATGAGAACAAATCATCTGTAATTAACAAATCAAAAGCTGAACATTGTATAGGAAAGTCAAAATTCTAGAAGTATCATGGACCAAAAGGCTTAGAGTTTTTTATATTTATATAGATTTATAGGGTTCTATGTGTATATCAGTTTGTGGAGATTAAAAAGACTATTGTATGGTCATCTTACTCATTCGACAAGTTTAGTAAAAGAAAACCCTACAAAAATGAGGATTTCCTCATATTCGGTTCTCATCTTTTACCTTTTAAAGAGTTTATCAAAGTCTATACGTTCAATTTTCAGAAGGAAAAATAAATACATGAAAGAATTACCCGAAGAGATAGACAAAAGACGACCACTTGTAGGCTGCATTAGATCCAAACACCAATCTGGAAATGTATCCTCTCTTATCTCCTGGTTGAGCCTTTCTCTTTCATGGTGTTCCTCTGATTTGCTTTGACAGATAGCCAAGTCCCTTAGAATTGTTGTAGCCGGAAAACCGGATCGACATAAACGATATAAGAAAGACGGTAGTGAGACGAAACTATACGAATATCGAGTCCACGGATACAACCATGGCAGACGAATCACGTTTCATTCGTTTCACGACCTAACAAACTAAAATTCTACGAACACTCTCTTAAAACTTACGCTTAGAGATTGCTGGATTTTTTTCTGTGTAAAAAAAAAACAATAAGAAATGAGAGAGGAGAAGACAAGTTTATAAAGAGGAGAAAGAGATTTGATTTTCGTAACCGTTGCACCACGTTAGCGGAAATCTCGAGAGTGGAGTTGAGAAACTTTCTCTGCAAGATCTCTCCTTTGTTGACTCGTTCTGATTTATTTTGAACAGATAAACTCCATGTTATTTTTCTTTTATATACCGACTACATGTCGTTTATACACGAACATTGTGTTGTTTTTTAAAATTTAAATGGTAAAGCGTTGAACTTAATTTGGTCTAAAAAAATAACTTCTTACCCGACACCCACGCCGAGCCGAGCCAGCCGAACGGCGGCAGCGCATGGAGCGCCTCCTATCTCACTGAGCTGTTTACACCATCATATGTACATATATATAATGCTCAAATTCTCTTCATTTGCCTGATGTGAGACCTTAATACAAGCATAACAACTTATGATCTGGGCTATATGACATATAGCCCAAGTCATATTTATTCACATATATATAAAAGCCTTTGGGTTTTTTATTTGATCCAACAAGAATACTATGTTGAGTCATGAGTGACTAAAATCATTGTAGAAACCGTCTTTGGAATCCTCTCTCCTGTTTTAAGCAGTCAAATAAGTTCCTCTAGATGGTATTATGCAACAAGGTGCAAAGAAGCGATGTTGAAACAAAAACAACATACCAGGTAGGAATAACTTTAAGCAGATTGTCAGAGATGAACGAATCCCTGTAATAACAACCAACACTGATGTTTTTGTGGTCATATCTCCTGGAAATTAAATAAACAGGTCATTAAATGGTAGATGACAAGAAGGTGCAAAAAAACAAAAACAACAGTGTTGCCGCAGGAACAACATACCCTAGAGGAACAATTTTAAGAAGATTATGCAAAGCCAGCTCATTGAGGTCCTTCACATACACGGTACTACCTTTACCGTATAATAATGGAAACACGTATCTTTCCTTGTGTATGAAATGAGCCAATGTCCAAGAAACGGTCTTTAAGATGGGAGTCCAAGACATTCAAGCTAGGCTGCAGACATTCTAGCAGAGTAGGTTGAGGATTATAAATAATTGTTTCCTCTTCGGACCAGCTTTTCACGTTGCCTATGAGGGCAACATTATTGGTGGTCCCTTAGCGGAAAAGTCCCTTAACTTTTAACTAAAAACGCTAAGGGACAACGCTAAGAAACCACCAATAATGTTGCCCTGACCCAATTTACATATTTTTTTACAAGTTGAACGCCAATTACTTCAATCAAGAGTGGAATTCCATAGCAAGGTTTCAAAATCTGCAAACACCCACCACGATGTGAAAATAAATGAAGATGAAACTGGTGTTTCCCCACATGATAACTAAAGCTTGTTGACAATAAAAAAAAAAAAAGAGAAGATAACCGAAGCTTTAAAACTTGGATTACAATCTAGAATAAGAGAATTGTCATTATTATACCTTATGTAGAAGATCTTCATGGTCAAGTGCTTTCGTGTAATAACGTGGAAATGCCCGCTCAATGAGAAGTGACTTAGCATCTTCATCTCCCAAAGGTTTCAAATGATAAGTAGGACCAAAGCTCGGAAACTCAAACCGAGAAGTCACCAAAATCTTGAAATTAGGTATGTTAATCTGAAATTTCTGAAGCAAGGATTCTGCTCCTTGGGGAACATCATCCAGCACCAACAATATAGGACCCTCTTCTTTAAGTTCCTCAAGCAGATTTCTTAAGCCATCAACTGCTTCAGAATCGTCCTCAAATGTAGTTGCTTCGTAACCGTTGTGCTGTAGTAAAGTCTGTACTATGGTCCTGAAGGTAGGAACCTTTGACACATCGGAAAAGAAGATATACTCGAATTTTTCTGAAAATTAGTGGAAACTACATGAGAAACCAGAAATACAAATTGATAAGTAACAACATGATTAAAAATTTACCTTCGATCCCTCCATCATGGCAAAGCTGAGTAACTAATGTTGTTTTCCCGCACCCCGGTGGAGCAGAGACCACGAGACTAACCACTGAATCATCATCATCAAGGAGCTTCTTCTTTATCTCCATCAATGGCAAATCCAAACCAACTAAAACTTTATCAAGCTTTGGGACCGAACAAAGATCCTTATAAACAGGCGGAGAAACACTCAAAACATCGAGTTTGTTATTGATACTTTGGAGATGACTCTGCAGGGCTTTCATCGTATGCACGGGCAGCATGTCTGACGGCTTGGGAGACAACGACGGGGAACAAAAGGATGTTGTAAGTTGACTCATAATCACATTTTGGTTTCGAAGTATAAGAAGCTGCACTTGAATCTGACAGAAATTTCGCATCCTCTGGTTGATGTCGTCTATTCTTCTTGTGTATTTAACTCTTGCAGGTAGATTCCACCGCTTGACTTTTGAACTCTTCCGAACCAGTACACGAGCTTCATTGATTAAATCTATGAATTTCTTTAGTTCTCCAGAACCTTGTAACCTTTCGATATCTTCGATTATCGGACGCATGTCCTCCAACGTCGATGCGAGCTCCATATACTTCTCTTTGAACGCAGCCACCATCTTAGCCATTTCAATCACGACTTTCAGGAGCTCCGAGACCGCAGCTCCAGCAACAGAACCTACTCCCAGACTAGCCACATCGTTCATGTCCTTTGTTACTTCTCTCACCCTTCCTCCAGCTAAGCTCTCACCAACCCAGAATCTTAAAACTCTCTCAAAAGTGGATGTTTTGTCAACATGGATAAACGATAGCTTATTTGTGATATAACCAAGAAAAAAAGAGTAAAATTAGGTTTTTAGTAAGAGAGTAGAGAGAGATAGGAAGAAAGAAGAGGAGAGACTTGAGAGAGTGTGATTTTAGTTATTTAGTAGGTTTGTGTTTTTTTTTTTTAATGGTTATAGAAACAAATTTTCCTAAACGATAGTGTATTTTTATACTGAAGCCCAAATGTACCAACCAAGCAATTTCCACATGTGCCTTTGCCTTCCCGTGAACTTTTGCCCTAAACCATTCAATGCATTCTCAGTGTGTCTACTTTTCTCCGTTAATTTTGCCAGAGATTTTCCTGTCTTTTACACATGATTGGTCCCACTTCCAGACATGGGGGGATCCAGCTCTAAAATTATATGGGGTCAGATATAAATAAATTTGTCTAATTTCAAAAAGGCACTCATATATGTGGGGTCAATGCTGAGCATCCAAGATCAACTGTGCCGTAATTATTCAGTGAACAAGCCTTACAAATTTTCTTTATAAGATCCGCCCCCTGCTTCCAGATTCGAACTACCAAGAGTGTTGTGTTGACTTCATTCCATCCAAAAACGTTTTGCCGTAACCCTCTGAATCAACAAAATAAAGACTACTTATTTAAAATATGATGCTATTGGTATACTGTATTTGTATTTGATATATTCAACTCAATGTACAATAGGGAATTATATACATCAATAGTCTTGGAGACTTAAGTTAGATAATAACAGAAGGTACCAAAAACAGAGGAATCGTAGTTAATAGGAGATCTTCATCATATCTGATATCTCTCTTACATACTGATGTGATTTCATGCTTGTGTACACAGAGTAATGCGGCTGCCACTCATAGATTATTATATATATAATTCAGACGTCATATATAACTATATAAGAAACTATTAAACCGACATGTTTCATTCATCTATATATAATATATCAATACACTCTCACCAATACATAATATGAGGTAGAGGTTCATCGTCTCTTACATCATAAAATAGCATGGGACTAGCAAAAGGTTCCCAAATAACTACCAGTCTTTTATAAAATCTGGATCAGTGAACTACCAGATTTGGCCAAATCCCCTTTAGCCGGTCCGAACCTTAATGATAAGTTTGTATATCGTGTTAAAGCATGACACTGGCCTAATGTATTTATTTTTATTTTTTATAAACCCGGCAAATTATATAATTGAAAAGATCGAGCAACTTTATAATGAGATTCGATTCGATTATGACGATACCCATAACAATGTACAAATAAATCGTGTTCGTCGGTTTCTCGGATAGTCATGTAAGCGCATGTTTAGAGGCTGACCCACATGTTAGGGTGTGGGTCATTTTACACTACAAAAAATGATGATATATTAATTTGGGTTTTTAGTAATAAAATCTGTCCGATGAATCGTAAAAAAAAAAAAAACTCAACTAAAAATTTAATGAGATAAATCCTCAACTTTAGTTCTGTTAATGCATGTCACTCTCCATCACATAATTATAGACGGAGGGTGACATACGTTAACAGAACTAAAGTTGAAGGTTTATTTCACTAAATTTTTTGTTGAGGATTTTTGTTAGGATCCATCTTTAGTTGAGGGGTTTTATTACTAAATATTTTAAATATTTTTTTATCATTTATTCATTATTTAAGAATCTTAAAATTTATTTATAAACAATTAAAATAATTTATATTTTTATATATTATTTTATCAATTTTATAACCTATTGATAAAGTTTTCTCATTTAATACTTTTTATAAATTATTATTAAGGTTTAATGATGATTTTATAAGATTAAAGATGCGATTATTCGTCATACTACAAAAACATGAGGTACATAAATAAAACAAGAAAATCTTATTATTTAATATGGTAGGAGTTCAACATATTGGTTCAGAAATCAAAAAGAAGAAAAATAATCCTACATTATTTCTTCTGAAACAGAAAGAAGAACGAATCAAATTGAAATTATGTAAAGAGAAAAAAAACCATTGCCATATTTTAAGTAACAATGTTGAATTTCTAAACTAATTAAATATCATCAACACTACCTACAACTTTATATAACTTAGAAATCTTAATTATTTGACATTTGACAGTATTAATATAAGAAAATTGTAAGTGTTTCCTCCTTTATAAAGCTTTATCGCTTTATTTCGTAATATCAAGAAAAATCATGTATTATTCCATCCTAAGAAATAACAGACAAAAGTTTATAAAATCATCGTTAAACCTTATTAATAGTTTATAAAAATATAAAAATATTTACTAAGCTTTATAAATAGGTTAAAAATTTGATAAAGTGATATATAAAATTATAAATTATTTTAAAAGTTTACAAATCAATTGTAAGATTCTTAAATAATAAATTAATGATAACAAAGATTTTAAATTATTTAACCGCATGTAGTAATAAAACTCCTCAACTAAAGATGGATCGTAACAAAAACCCCCAACTAAAGATTTAGTGAAACAAACCCTCAACTTTAATTTTGTTAGCATATGTTACCTTTCGTCTAAAATTCTGTGACAGAGGGTGGGAGACATTAACGAAACTAAAGTTGAGGGTTTATTTCAATACATCTTTAGTTGAGGGTTTTTTTTACGATTCATTTTTAGTTGAGGGATTTTATTACTAAAAACCCTATTAATTTTGTATAGAAAATCACAAAAGAAAAGTTAAGAACTGATTCTTTTGTGATTTTATATTAAAATTTCAAAATTAAATCTTAAAAAAGATATTTAAGAGCTGGTGCTTAGTTTTTTAGTTAAAAGCTAAGAGAATGGTTCTTATATTCCGTTAAGAATTTCACCCTAATAACTCCCATTAAACATACTCTAAATGTCACACGTTACTTCGTTAGTATATTTAAATTACTAATTACTTAAATAATATATAATAAATACAAGGACTTTATTCTAATTTGTCCTAGAACCTCCCATGTTAATTTTATTTTGTTCCTTTTGATAAATTATTTATTATTTATTTTCTTTTAAATACATAAATGTGGCTAAGTACTAAAAAGCTTTAATAAATTATCTAAACTGCAATCAGACCTAAGCTAAATCCTATAAACTAGTCCAAGGGTTTTCTTCCTCCCTCCCCACATGTTTCTCCATCTTTTCTTTGGCCTTTGCACCTTTTTTTGGATCAACCAACCTCTATACTTTTAAGATGTGGTTATATACTTATATGTTTGTTTTTCACAAATTACAAATTCAAAATTGATGAATACGAATAAATTTATAGTTTTGATGTATAAAAAACAGCTATAACCTATACAAATAGAGTTTCTTTAAAGAAATTCCATGGCAGCCACAAAAAAAAATATTTGCAGAATCAGAAAAATCCTAATAGGAAGTGATGAAGAAATAATTATAAAACTACCACTTAGTAAAAAGCTTTTTTTAACTATACAGTGTATTCAACTGAGGGGTTGAAAAGTTTAGAAACAAGGAGCATACCATCAGACCACAAATTAAATTTATGTATAATCACATCAACTATATTTTGGATATAATTTTGTTTTAAAATAAAAATAAAAGCTAACGAAAGAAATTAACTAGTTATCAAACAAGAAATATAACACCAGACCACGAGTTATATTTGTGTATATTTACATAAGTTTCTTTTTGTATATAATTTTGTCTTATAAAATGAAATCTTATTTAATTTCCTCATAAATTAAAATTATTTTTATTGGTCGTATCAAATTAGGTCAAGGATATCTTCTTTAAACTAATGGAAAGAAAATATCAAACTGGGGTTGTATTGATAACAAATAAGGAGTATACCACCAGACTACATATTATTTTTTTTGTACATTTACATCTATTTTTTTATTTTCTTTTTACTTCATTTAGTTGTATATATAATACCAATTTGTGGTATATAAGTTTTAAATGTATAATACATAGTTGTTCAAGGTAATATAAGATAGTACACAGTAGTCATAGTAATGCTAGTAGTGCACGTACACATTTATATAAATAAAAATATAATATTGAATCATCAAATTTATATAAAATAATATATATTCTCCTGTTTCAAGAAGAATGTAATTTTTATATTTTTCATAAAGATTAAAACTGATCTGAATGCATTCATGCTCTTAATAAATACATCTATTTAATCAAAAAAATTTAAGACAAATAAATTATTTACAAAATCAAAACATCTTATAAATAATGTTAAAGTTAAAATAGATATAAATGAACTGGAATCTTAAATGATACTCTTTACATAACAAGAAAAATGTCAAAATTACTTTTTATAAGAAAAGACAATATTATTTATCATTTATATAGATTGTCAATTTAATTACAAATATAAATGGTAAAAATATGAATTATATTATTTTCTTTAAAAAAATTAAAGGAGGCCATATAAATATATAAAAACTTAAACTAAGGATTTGAAATTATTTTTTATTACAATATTATTGGAATATATGTTTTATTAAACTTTTAGTATTGAATATTTTTATGTAAACCAAATTTATATTATTAAATTTAATTTTAAAATTAATTTTTGATTAAAATATTATTTAAATACATATTAATTATTTTTTTATCTTTAACATATTTTTGAAAAAATTTATATATATATTTTGAAATTAACTGTTGATCTAAATATGAAATATCTTATTTTAAATATGATTGCCTTTGTAGAAAAGAAATAAATTTTAGTTAATAAAAATTATTTTATATGAATATTTTATTAAATTTTATTTTGGAAAATTAATTGTTTATTAAAATATTATTTTTAATATTTTAAATAGTTTTTTATTGTTCTATCGAAAATATTATTTCAGGATAAACAGATATTCTTTATTTTTCCATAAAATTTTAGCTATATTAAGCATTTAACATATTTAAAAAAATTTAAAAAGGTTTTAGATAATAAAATCTGGGACCCACCAAAAAAATAAAAATAAAAATAATCGGTATAGAAAATAATAGAGCAATTTAGGTAGAATCCTTAGAAAGACTTGGAAATTAGGAGAATACCAAAATGTTAAAAACATGTGTGTACGTGGCAAAGGAAGAGGTGTAAGAAAGACTAAACTACCCTGCTCGCTCAGTCTCTAGCCTTCCATAGTTTAGGTGACGTACACCTATAACCTGACAAAAAGATTTATGTAGATTTAGAAAGATATAAAAAGATTTGGGTTAGATTTTCAAAACTTATCTTTGTTAACGAAGATATACAGTTGTGTGGATTATTCAACCCAAAATCATATCGTTTTTTATTGCTGCTGTCTTTTTTTAAATCTTCTTTCTCTGTTTTTTTTTTAATATTAAATCTAAACATAAATGAAGAAGATCATGAAGTCTGAATAATTCATGAGTTTATCTGGTTATTTCTCTGTGAGATCCTGAATTATTCTATCTCTTGAACTTCATTGTCTTTCATCTTTTTATATCCTGGAGACTCCTCGGATTACTCGACGATCAAAATAATGCGTCTAGGCAGCACCTCTCATTCCACCTGCATAACCCAAGAGTTTCGATTAAAGTTAGAGATTCGATCTCATAACCTTCACAAATGGAGATATGGTGATATGATAATTAGCAAGCCAACAAATTTTATAATGGTTATATAAAAAAATATACAAACAATTTGTAGTTTAGCCAGGTAACTATTTTTAGGAATCAGAAATGGTGAAAAGCAGTATTTTGATGTTTTGGAACACCTATATGGCATTTTAAGTAAAAATAGTTTAGCTGACTAACAAATATGTGTTACACATCTATTAGATTTATTAACCAGATACTAAAACTTTATTGATATAAACATCATAAAAATAATAAGTTAAAAAATTATGTTTCCGACTAACTTAACACTACAAAAAAAAGAGGTAGATTAAATCACTTAAATTGTATCACAAAATTAAGTGATTCTTTTTTGAATTATTTATATGTAAATGATACAAATAAATAAAATTTAGCATCAATTTTTAAAAAGTGATATGTTTATTAATTTTTGTAACATCATTTGAAAAAACAATATATTTATTATGTAATTGGTATCACTTTTTGAAAAATGATTTAATTACTTACAGTTATATGAGTTAGATAAATGATGTAGTTATTTTTATTGTTGCCATCACTTATTAAATAATACAAATTTGCATCAATACAAACTGAAGCTAATACAAATACGTATATATCATGAAATATTTTTTTGTACTAATAATATTATACATGTGATAAAAAGATAACTTAAAACTAATCTTAATAGATAAAAGAAAAATAAAAATTTGGGCTAGAAGGGAAAATAGGTTTACCCGTCGTACGATCGAACAACACAAACTTGCAGCGATCACCTTCCTTTTAATCAGATTAGCTTTTGGTAAAAGCTAAAAGCTTTAATAATAAGAGATAGCTAATTAAAAGAGGTACGTAGGTCTCCTATACATATTTAGTTCAAAAAGTCTTGTATATACTTTTTTTTTTGAAATGAGAAAAAAAAATTGTATATACATACGGTAAACAATTTAAAACTTCCTCTTCGCACTGTAAAGTGTTTCTATCTCTTTCTCAGGAAAAAGAGCTTCGAAATCGTTGGTGAGAAATTGTTAAGAATCAAAATTGCATACAATAAGGTAACTCGATTCCATGTTTAGTTAACGTGCCTTTTTTTTTATTTGAACTTTTTGGGTTTACCTTTCAATAGTTTCTCTGCAAATTTCTAAACTTTACACACTATGAAAATTGTATTTTCAGGTATCAATGGATAAATTATGGATAAACAAATCACGTTTATCTCAAGATTACAGATTACGAGTGAAAAATTTCTTGAAATTTGCCTTTGGTAAATCTAATGCAAGCATGGTGAAATGTCCATGTAACCGCTGCACTCTAGCTAAATCTAAAACAAGAGAAGAAATTGAAGGTAATGATATGCTTTGGTTTCTTAAATTTTTACACAAGCTGGATATTACACGGAGAGGATACATGTGCCACAAGGAATACAAGTATACCTTCTGATATTGCTCAGGGTGAAACAGATTCAACTTTGAATCTCTTAGAAGATATTTTTCCTGACATAAGTACGAATATGCATGCTGAACATGGTCTAGGATCGTCTGAGCAACCTATGGATACTGAAGGACCATCAACTTCAAGTGGAAATTGTGGAAAAGGAGAAGGTTTTGATGAGTTGTTTACTGACTATAATCAAGAGCTACATCCAGGATGTAGTAAGTTCACAAAGTTGTCTTTTATACTGAAGCTATACCATATCAAATGTATGTGTGGGATTAGTGAAAAGGGGATATCTATGGTACTTGAGCTGATGAAAGACGCTTTTACACATGCCAAATTGTCAGACTCATTTAATGACATGAAAAAATTTATACGCAAATTAGGAATGGCTTATGAGTCAAAACATGCATGTCCAAATGATTGCATGTTATATTGGGAGGCCGATGCAGAAAAGAAGATTTGTAAGGTCTGTGGAGTCTCTCGATGGAAAAAATGTGTTTCTACAGAAAACATTGTTTCTGGATCGGAGCAGGAAAAAAGTAAAGCTCCTGCCAAAATTTTGCGTTATTTCCCTCTAAAGCCACGATTGCAACGTTTATTCATGTCATCAAAAACTGCTACTCACATGAGATGACACGCAACAGCTAGTAATAATGATGGTAAGCTTCGCCATCCAAGAGACGGAAGGGCTTGGAAGGAATTTGATCAAAAATATTCAGAATTTGCGGCTGATCCAAGAAATGTCAGATTAGGCTTGACGACTGATGGTTTTAACCCATTTGGTACAATGAGTAGTAGTTATAGCATCTGGGCAGTGATATTATTCCCTTACAACTAATTTGAGACATTTTACATTTGCGACAGAAGCTTTTCTAACTTCATACGGTAGGAACAAAATTGTCACATTATCAATATTTGCAACCACTGTGCAAGTATACTTGTAGTTGTGATGTTTTCTTGTAGTGAATCCTTTATCCCCTAGATCAGTGTAAAGTCGAGGATTCTATCAACAAAACTGAGGACCACTTAGTCTTCTCTATAAGGGAAGTCGTTGTGCTGCATCAAAGGGTTTCGTTCGTGTGCCAAAAATCCCGGAGCTATTGATTTGTGAAACACTTGAATAATGAGACTTGGACGAGAGAAAGAAGAATAGAGAGTAGAATGTGAAACTTATCATTTATTAAGACACACACACACAAACATAAATCAAAATCTTGCATAATTGAACGTAAACGTTTGTAAGTTCTGGAAACTGAAAAATCAAACATAGAAAAACATAACCCAAAAAAGTCATGGTTATAAGAAACATACCCATGCACTTTCACATGCGCACTTATTCATACAACTATATAGGATAATCGACAGGTTGAGTCTTTCACTGGTTCAGCTTCTCACTCTTTTTTCTCCCTTCCTTAGTCGTTGGACAACATGGCATGTTCTTCAGTTAAACTGCTATATTCCTCAATGACGATCAAATCCCTCATTTCTGGCTCCAACCTTTTCCACAACAGTCCAGTCTCTTCATCACAATATACCTTCAAATTATCTAGATTCATCACTGAAACCGATAATTCGCATCCCGAACACATCCTCATAAAGATTTTATCTAACTTCTGCAACTTCCCAATCTCTAAAGGCAACTTTTTCAATGCCAAGCAATCAGAAATATCCAAAAGCCGTAATTCGCTGAGCCTCTCAGTCGATTCAGGCAGCTCAATGAGATTAATGCAAGAACTCAACCTCAGAACTTCAAGATTACTCAAGTTACCTATAGCCTTTGGAAGTAGAGAGAGCTTCCCACAGTTTACGATGCTAAGTTTCTTCAATGAAACAACCTCAGAGACCCAATCCGGCAATTCAACAAGATCATAGCAATGATCTATGTAAATCTCCTGTAAACTTGGTAGAGCTTCACGGATAGCTATCTCTTCATCTATGTTGTAGGAAGCCTCACTGAAACTGCACATGAACAAAGATAGCGTCTCGAGACTGCCGAGTCCTGATAGGAGAATGTCCAGCAAATTGATTGAAATTTTCTCAAATGTGATCCGTTTTAGGTTGGGTAACAAGCTGAGGCACGACAAGTTGGTCAACTTTGCAGGACCAAGACCGTGATTTATGATTATCACAACCTTCAGTTTCTTCATTGTAGCAATGAAGTTTGGTAATGCATAGCTTGATGAGGAGAGATTGAGAACTAAAGCCTCAACATTGGGGCAATCTATTTCAACCCAAGTCGAAGAGAACAAATCATCTGTAACAAAGAAAAACGGAGCATCTTTTTAGAAAAAAAGTCGTTGTATATATGAAAAGAAATACTCTATCCGTTTAATTTCGTTTTAAAATAAGTGTTGTTTTAGAGTTTCGAGGGCATAATTTATTAACTTTATATGATATTCTATTTTTCTATTGGTTGAAAAATGGTTAGGTGTATATGTAATTATGTTTTTATTTTAAAAATATGTAAAATCAAATGTTTACTTAATATGTGTGCAAAAAACTAAATGACAACTAAAATGAAACCGAAGGAATACTAATTAACTGACCCTATTTGAACGAGTATTTGCATTGTTTTGTTATATCTTCGTTTTTTTTTTGTATTTCAACAGTTTTTTTAGGGTTATATAATGGTCATCTTACTCATTAAAATAGGTTAGTAAAAGAAAACCCTAGAAAAGGAGGATGAGTTCCTCATATTCGGTTCTCATCTTTTACCTTATTTTGAGTTGATCAAAATGACAAAATCTATACATTCAATTTTCTGAAAAAAAAGGAAAAGAAAAAGAGTACCCGTAGAGATAGACAAAAGGGAAGCACTTATAGGCTGTCTTAGATCCAAACACCAATCTGGAAATGTATCCTCTCTTATCTCCAGATTGAGCCTTTTTCTTTCATGATGTTCCTCAGATTTGCTTTGGCAGATAGCCAAGTCTCTCAGAATACTATGCTGAGTGACTAAGAATTCATTGTAGAAATCGTCTTCGTAATTCTGTTTCCTGTTTTAAGCAAATAAATAAGTTCCTTTTAGATGGTATTATGCAACAAGGTGCAAAGAATCGATGTTGAAACAAAAACTACATACCAGAGAGGAATAAGTTTAAGCAGATTGTCAGTGATGAACGAATCCCTGTAACAACAACCAACACTGATGTTTTCGTGGTCATATATCCTGGCAAGTAAATAAACAGGTCATTAAATGGTAGATGACAAGAAGGTGCAAAAAACAAAAACAACATACCCTAGAGGAACAATTTTAAGAAGATTATGCAAAGCCAGCTCATTGAGGTCCTTCACATACACGGTACTACCTTTACCGAATAATTCCATCCATATGTCAATTATACAGGAAGCACGTATCTCTCCTTGTGTAAGAAATGAGCCAATGTCCAAGAAACAGTCTTTCAGATGGGGATCCAAGACATTCAAGATAGGCTGCAGACATTCTAACACAGTAGGTTGAGGACTATCAAGAATTGTTTCCTCTTCAGACCAGCTTTTCACTTCGCGTCTGGCCCAATTTACAAATTTTCTTATTAGCTGAACGCCGATTACTTCAATCAAGAGTGGAATTCTATAGCAACGTTTCAAAATCTGTAACATGACAACTGAAGCTTTAAAACTTGAATATAGAATTTTGAAAAAGAGAATTAATGTCGTTAATATACCTTTTGTATAAGATCTTCATGCTTTAGTGCTATGCTGTAATAACGTGGAGATGCCCGCTCAATGAGAAGTGACTTAGCATCTTCATATCCCAAAGGTTTCAAATGATAAGTGGGACCGAAACTCGGAAACTCAAACCGAGAAGTCACCAGAATCTTGAAATCCAGTATGTTAACCTGAAATTTCTGAAGCAAGGATTCTGCTCCTTGGCACACATCATCCAGCACCAACAATATAGGACCCTCTTCTTTAAGTTCCTCAAGTAGCATTCTTAAGCCATCAACTGCTTGAGCATCGTCCTCAAATGTTGGTGCTTCGTAACCGTTGTGCTGTAGTAAAGTCTGTACTATGGTCCTGAAGGTAGGAACCTTTGACACATCGCAAAAGAAGATATACTCGAACTTTTCTGCAAATTAATGGAAACTTATTGATGAGAAACATACCACATCGAAAATATAAGAATTAATCTACTACTATATAAATGGTTAGGTTCAATCAACTAATTACTAATTGGTTTTAAGTTGGAAGTCCATAATAAACCCAAATCTAATAAAACTACATGAGAAACAAGATATATAAATTTTAAGAGTAGAGATAATTAAAAATTTACCTTCGATCTCTCCATCTTGGCAAAGCTGAGTAACCAATGTGGTTTTCCCGCACCCGGGAGGAGCAGAGACCACGAGGCTAACCACGGGATCATCATCATTAAGGAGCATCTTCTTTACGTCTAACAATGGCAAATCCAAACCAACGAGAACCTTATCAAGCTTTGGGACCGAACAAAGATCCATATAAACAGGCGGAGAAACACTCAAAACATCGAGTTTCTTATTGATCCTTTGGAGATGACTCTGTAAGGCTTTCATCGTATTCACGGGCAGCATGTCAGACGGCCTGTGAGACGGCTTGGGAGGCGACGAGGAATAAGGCACAAACAGTTGACTCATAATCACATGTTGGTTCCGAAGTATAATAAGCTGCACTTTAATCTTACAGAAATTTTGCATCCTCTGGTTGATGTCGTCTATTCTTCTTGTATATTTAAGTCTTGCAGGTAGATTCCACCGCTTGACTTTTGAACTCTTCCCAACCAGTACACCAGCTTCATTGATTATATCCATGAATTTCTTTAGTTCTCCAGCACCTTGTAACCTTTCGATATCTTCGATTACCGGACGCAGATCCTCCAACGTCGATGAGAGTTCCATATACTTCTCTTTGAACGCAGCCACCATCTTAGCCATTTCAATCACGACTTCCAGGAGCGCCGAGACCGCAGCTCCTGCAACGGAACCTACCCCCAAACTAACCACATCGTTCATTTCTTGTCTTACTTCTCTCACTTCCTCCACCTAAACTCTCACCATCCCAAAATCTTTAAACTCTCAGATTTGGTCTGAAAGGTGGATGTTTTGTCAGCACGGATAAACGATAGTGTATTTATACTGAAACCTCAATGTACCAACCAAGCAATTTCCACATGTGCCATTAATCTGGTTGCCTTTTTCCCCCAACACGTGGCGTGCAATTACATTTTCATGACTATAAAAAGACCACATTAAAGTCCCCGTGAACTTTTGCCCTAAACTATTTAATGCATTCTCAGTGTACCTACTTTTCTCGGTTGATTTTGCCAAAGATTTTCTTGTCTCTATTACACATGATTGATCCCATCCCACTTCCAGATTCGAACTACCATAAGTGTTGACTTTATTCCATCCCGAAAAATTCGCCGTTTCGCGCTTCTACCGTAACCCTCTGAATCAACAAACTAAAGAGTACTTATTTGAAATATGATGCTACTGGTATATTAATACAAACGACTATATTAAATCTGAAATGGGTTTAAGCGATTACATCCGGAGCTGGGTTCAACGGTATCATGATAATAACCGGAAGGATCCTAGACGGTTTGCTAGTGGTATATTGATGTGATTTCATACTTGTTTTACATAGAGTAATGCCACTAATAGATTATATACTTCAAAGGTCATATAAGAACTATTAAGTGGACATGTTTCATCTATCTACTACTATCAATACATTTTTACGAATACATAATATCAGCTAGAGGTTCATCGTCTCATACATCATAAATAGCATGGGACAAGCAAAGGTTCTCAAACAACGACCAGTCGTTTATAAAAACTGACCGATTAGGCTTTCATGATGAGTTTGTAAATCGCGTTAAAGCATGACACTGGCCTAATGTGATTTTTTTTTTAAACCGGTAAGTTATATAATTGAAAAGATAGCATCTTTATAATGAGATTCGATTTTTTAAGACCATACCAATAACAATGTATAAATAAATCGTTTTCCTCGGTTTCTCTGTGGAGAGTCATGTAAATGTGACACGTTAGTATATTTTAAATTCTTAATTACTCAAATAATATATAACAAATACAATGGGGGTAGTTGGTGGTTACAATAAAACAAGATTATAGTATTTAACATCAATTTCACAATCTACAAAGTCTCAATAATTGAAGAGAGTTCGGTTCACACTGCATGACATATTTTAATCAATTACACTGCACACATGCTAACACCTGTACGTATCCGATCGTTTAGCCCTTGAATCAGTGTTAAACTCGAGGATTCTGTCAACAAAGCTGAGGGAGTCATAGTCAAGACCGGGAACGTTTATGAAAAATTCCTGTTTAAGTTTTGCGCATTATTAGTTTTTACATACTAGACTAGACGTAAAGCTCGTTACCAATAAATGACCCTTTTTGTTTCATTACTTACAAATGTTTTCTATCTCATCACATTACGGTATGTAAAGTAAACAAAATATGTGTTTTTTTGAAGAAGTCACACTTGAGTTATTCTCTAGCGGATTATGGTTTGAAGTTTATGTTAATATTTTAAAAGTTTGATTTAGCTAATAGTTTAAGTGTTTTGGTTAATCGGGTATCAGTGCTCGGGTTTAAATCCTGTTAGGGACTTTTTTTGTTTTTTTTTTTAACTACAACATACTTTCATTGAATCAACTAGTATAAGGTTGATACAGGAAATCATTAAGCCAAACTGGAGGAATAGTAAATACATGAAATAGAGAATGACCCGACAACATATTCTTCGCAATACAGTCCGCCGCTTGTTTCTTCTCTGTTAACATGGTCCAAAGAACAATGTGGAAGTAAACTGATCCAATGACGAATATCATAAACAATATTACCCAACTCCAAATTATCAAGAACCCCATTAACAATACGCACCAGTTCCTGATTATCAGATTCAAAACAAACATTTTTCCAACCTCTGTGCCATACTTGATGCAGAGCACATAGTAAACCATAAGCTTCTCCCTCTAAAGCTGACCGCACACCACTCATTTTTGCTCCCCCTAAAACCATCATCGTCCCTTGGTGATCACGGATTATCCAACCAATACCAGTAAAAAACTCTCCACCTTTGAAACTACAATCAACATTGCACTTAAATCAACATTGCAATTGCATTTTATTTTTTTTTCTTTAAATCTAAAACAATGTTGTTTTACAGTTAGCTACTTTCATTCTGATCAATATATATTTAGACATGTTTTAAGCTTTTTGTTTATTTGAATTAAGATCATATTGTAGTTAATACGGTCTAAATCGTATGAAATATGATTAAAATTGTTAGAAGAGTAATATGCATTTTTCTCTTTATACTGCAGCATTTTTGAGTCATGACAAACAGAAGCTCTGAATAACGTTGTTTCCTTATGTGCCAGATTGTCCGTTTTTGTATTATGCGTTCGAGGTATATGTATGAATTCTGAATAATTAAAGCTCTCCTTGAGCATGTAAATATCTTTCAAATATGTTGCAAAAGCAGATATTCTTCTGTCCAAAATCTAAAAACTGGTCAGGAGAAGTTATCTTTTGATCCCAATGAGCTCAACAAGCTGGTGTACTTACATGGAGCCTTGTATGAATCAATGAGGTTAAACCCACCAGTTCCATTCGAACGCAAGTCTCCTGTAAAAACAGATTCCAAGTGGGCATAAAGTCGATGTGGACTCCAAAATACTTATTCTGATCTACGCACTTGGGAGGATGAAAGCTGTATGGGGAGAAGATGCATCAGAATTCAAACCAGAGAGATGGGTTTCAAACACAGGTAACTTAAGGCATGAACCTTCCTTCAAGTTTTTAGCGTTTAATGCTGGTCCGAGAAGCTGCCTTGGTAAACAGTTAGCTATGAATCTGATGAAAACAGTTATTGTAGAGATATTGCAAAACTATGACATTCAGGTCATCATAAGCCAGTAGATCGAGTCACTTCCAGGTCTTATTCTTCGAATGAAGCACGGGCTTAGTGTTACGATTACTAAGCGAGATCAGGTTAATTAGTGCAATTTATCACAAAACTAAATCGTAATATAGCAGAATAAAACGATTAAGAAGCATATATTGTGTGTAAAGATCCCTCCATTAATACTAGTACTACCTTATAATATTTGTGTTTATGATGCATGAGATAGATGGACTTCTACTTGATATTAAGTATTCATGAAAATGTATTGATAAAAAATGCAAATAAAATTTTATATAAAAATAGGGTGATTTATATTTGTACAAGGTGAATGATCTTCAAAGTTTTATAGTCGAAGCTAGCGACAATGTCCCGACAACAACTTAGAACTCTTTCACTATATACTTTGAGAATGTTCATCGTTTTACATTATAAGCGTCGTATAAAAACGGTCTCCAAATCTGAAGGAGGCACAAAGTACTCTACGTTTACATTACTTCGACACTTCAACGCCGGTCTGCGTTTCCTTGGAGGAGCCGGCGGACATATCAATTTCTCACAGAGCTTCGCTTCTTTTGCCGTGGGTGTGATGCAGTACTCTTCGCTGCCACTGTATTGTTTTTCTTCTTCACTTTCTGTGTCTCTCTCCCGCCTTTTCAGTTTGGTTTTCACCGGCTTCAGTGAAGCCCATATAGAGTTTTCGGAGATGACCAATTTTTTATCAACTTGAGATTTCTTCGAAGATCCCATGTTTTTCGGAGGAACAGAGACAGGAAGACGAGGGAGCAAATAAAAAATGGGAGAAGATTTTTTTTTTCTTGATTGGAGGAAGAAGAGGGAGTAAGTGGAAAGTATGCTAATGATTCTTGCTTTTAAAGACACGTTTTTCCTTTTGCAAATTGCTTGCTTCCCCAGGAATTATTAGAGGAGAAAGCTTTCAGAGGAAGACTATTATAGTTAGGTGGAAGACGACTAAAGGGTAAAATCAGGAATTAATAATAAGTCTATTTTTTGGCGCTGAATCTTATATCATAACGGTTCTTTTTTTCCCGCCACTTTCTGCTTAAAGCCCTTATTTTGTTACCCAACGAAGTCATGGTAAGATCATCTTCATTAATTGAAAAATATTTTAAGTTACCCACTTCAAAAAATAATATTGTTCAAACAAATTGAATGAATTACCAAAAGTTTGTAACGCAAAGTGCAAAAAAAGATCGGTTGAGGGAGTTTTGAAGGTCTTTGCTGAGTTTGATAAGTCATTAATTTGTCTGGTCTGAATATCAGTTTGGAGAAAATCAACGTTATATTTGGCGGGATTTACAAGCCAGAAAAGAGAAGAACTGTTAAATCAATTTCCATTTGCAGCAGGAAGTCTACTGGTTAGATATTTGGGTCTTCCTCTAACTACTAAAGGTATGACTGCAAATGATTTCCTTCCGCTTGTTGAAAAGATAAGAAAGAGGATAGGAACATGGACAGGAAGGTTCTTATCTTTCGCGGGTAGATTGCAGCTAATTAATTTAGTGATTACTAGTTGGGTGAATTTTTGGATGGCGGCCTTTCGTTTACCTATGAGTTGTATTAAAGAAGTGGAGAAGCTTTGTTCTGCTTTCTTATGGTCAGGTCCTGACCTGAACACTAGGAAAGCAAAAGTTGCTTGGTCAGAGATTTGTCGATCTAAACAAGAAGGTGGGTTGGGAATAAGACCGCTAAAGGAAATGAATGAGGTTTGTGTCTTGAAGTTGATATGGAGGATTTTATCAGCAAACTCGCTGTGGGTGAAGTGGATTCACATATATCTCATACGTAAAAGCTCACTTTGGACAGTAAAAGAAACCGCAATGGGTTCATGGATGTGGAAAAAAAATTTGAAGTACATAGAAAGAGCTAAGCAGTTTTACAAGGTGGATGTGAAAAATGGTAGAAGGGCTTCTTTTTGGAATGAAGCTTGGTCTCCTCTGGGTATTTTGAAAGAGCTTTTGGGAAATGGAGGTTGTATAGATATGGGAATTCTGGCTAATGCAAAGGTTGAGGCTTGTATGAGGCATCGACGAAGAAACCATAGAGTCCCAATCTTAAACAGAGTTGAGATTGAGATTGAAAAGTATAAGAGTCTGAGGATTCAAGAGGAAGATGATATATCGCTCTGGAAGTGTGGAGAAGGAAAATATAAGAGGAGTTTCTCAACTAAAATAACTTGGCAGATTATGAGAGAGAAGCATCTGATATTTGAGAATTACAAGGCACTCTGGTTCAAGCATTCTACGCCAAAGTTATCCTTCTTGGCTTGGGTTGCTATGAAAAATAGGCTTGCAACAGGGGATCGCATGATGCAGTGGAGTGTGAATGTGGATGTGTCATGTGTTCTATGCAATGAGCCTATAGAAACTGCCGCCCATCTCTTTTCGAATGCCGCTACTCAAGACAGGTATGGAGTGTGCTTGTTAGAGGTGTTCTTCGAGAAAACTACACAGAGAACTGGTTGGATATAGTGAGGTTCGTCACTGATTCTAGTCGGAATGAACTTCAGCTGTTCACTACCAGATATGTGTTCCAAGCAGCAATCCATAGTATATAGAATGAGAGAAATAAGAGAAGACATGGAGGTAAAGAGTCCCCACCCATTTTATTGGCGAGTTTGATTGATAAAACTGTGAGAAATAAGTTCACTCTTGTACAAAGGAAGAAGGATAAGAAGCTAGAAGGAAGGCTGAGATATTGGTTTGGCACGAGGCAGAGTGGATGATAGTTTTGCAAAGAGTAGAATAAAGTGAAGAGAAGTTGGAAGTGTTTACTCTTTGAAGGTTATTGTATAGAAAATTAGAAAGGACACAAGAGTTGTAAAAAGGTTTTTTGAGTTAATTTAACAATCAATTCAAAAAAAAGTGCAAAAAAAGAAAGAAAACAGAACTAAATGCATAAACTTCTAGGAGCTATTGATTTTTTGTGAAACACTTGAATAATGAGACTTGAACAAGGAATTTTAAAACAGAGAGTAGAAGTCTGAAACTTACTATTATTTTACCAAGGCAACACAAACATAAAATAAACATCTTACTTAACATAACTGCACGTAACCATATGCAAGTTCCGGAAACTGAAGAGCGAGACGAGACCAAACTTAACACACAAGTCAAAGTTATAACAAACCTAATTAACCGTGCACTTGTACATATGCACTTATTTATATAATAATCATATAACTTTATAAGATACACGACACGACAGGTTGAGTCTTTCACTGGTTCAGCGTTCCAGGTAATGCTCTGCTATATTCCCCTATAGATTATCAAATTCCTCATTTCTGGCTTCAAACTTTCCCACAACAGTCCAGTCTTTTCATCACATTCTACCTGCAAGTTCTCTAAATTCCTCACTGAATTTGGTAATTCGCATCCCCAACACATCCTCATCGAGATTTTTTCCAGCTTCTGCAACTTCCCAATCTCTGAAGGCAATTTTTTCAGTACTAAGCAATCAGAAATATCCAGAAACCGTAAATCGCTGAGCCTATCAGTCGTTTCAGGCAGCTCACAGAGATTGATACAAGAACTCAACCTCAATACTTGAAGATTACTCAAGTTACCTATATCCTTTGGAAGTAAAGAGAGCTTGCCACAGTTTGTGATGCTAAGTTTCTTCAATGAAATAACTTCAGAGACACAATCCGGCAACTCATCAAGGTCGTAGCAATAATTAATGTCAATCTCCTGTAAACTTGGTAGAACTTCAGGGATGGCTATTTTTTGTTTTTTTGTTGGTAATCCTTCAGGGATAACTTTCTCTTCTATGTTGTAGGAAACCTCACTTAAACTGCACATGAACATAGATAGCTTCTCGAGACTGCCAAGTCGTGAGAGGAAAACGTCCAGCAAATTGACTGAAATTTTCTCAAATATGATGCATTTTAGGTTGCCTAACGAGCTGAGGCACGACAAGTTGGTCAACTTTGCAGGACCAAGACCGTGATTTATGATAACCACAACCTTCAGTTTCTTCATAGTAGCAATGAAGTTTGGTAATGCATAGCTTGATGAGGAGAGATTAAGAATTAAAGCCTCAACATTGGGGCAATCCATTTCAACCCAAGTCGATGTGAACAAATCATCTGAATAAAAGGAAAACGGAGCACCATTATCATAATCATTTCACCGTAATCAATCATAATTGTAATCAAATATATTTGATACAAAAAATTATTATTTGATAGTACATTTATTTAATATATTTATTAGTAAAGGTTCTATATATAGGTAAAGGTAGAAAATCTTACAAATATTATTATTGTCAAAACAATTATAAATTATATTTACGTATAAATATTGAAAAAAATATTTATATATGAAAACTTAAAAAAATATGTTCTTTAAAATTGAATTTCCTAAGCGGTCGCTTGAGTGGCTTTCACTCTGACAGTATATAAAAAGAAATACTAACAAACCCTATTCAAGTAAGCACAGAAACAGTGAAACTCTCTAAATTAATAATCTTCTGAACATAGTACTTTATTTATATATAAAGTTAATAACTTAAAAATATTTTTTGAGAAAAAAATATTAAAATGGATTTCATTTTTCACATATATATTATTAATTATCATATTTAAAATAAAAGTATATGTTTTCTAATTTTTTATATTGAACTTTAAATTTTGATTGGTAAAACATTAGCATAAGCATTATGATCTCTATTATCCAATCAACATTTGTCAAAGAAGCATTTAGAAAAGCATTTACCAAATGCTAATGCTCTCCAAATGCTATTTGCTCAATGCTCTCCAATAGAGTTTTTGGTAGAGCAGTTGCATTTACAATACATAAAAATTTTAAAAATAATTATACATAATTAATTTATTGTAGTTTAATAATACAAAAAATATTTTTATAATCAAAATAAATTTATATTGTAAAAATTAAAATAAAATTTTAATTAAATATTTTTAAATTATTTAAAAAAACAATATTTCACATTTAAAATATAATATAATTTATATAATTACACATAATAACAAACATAACATAATATATATTTATATATTATAAATATAAACATATATATATGTATATTAATTATACATTAATAAATAAATTATATAACATATATTAATTTTTATGATAATTTTATAATGTGACTCATTTACTTCTCTATCAATAAATAATAATAATTTATATATAAATTATATATAATTTATTTATTTATTTAATAAAATTAAATATTTTTATCTCCAAAAATAATTTAATATTTTTTTAAAAATTACATTTTTAGATAATTATATTTTACATATAAACTATAATATAATTTATATAATGAATAAGATTCATTATTTTTAATGAAAAATATATTATTGATATATATTATAAATATATAAATAGATTTTAATATAAATATTTATTTATATTAACTATTATAATAATTTTTAAAATTGTATACTGCTAATGCTCTGCCAATCACTTTATTAAAATTTTTACTGAAAGCATACAACTTCTGCAGCATACAGCTTCTAGAGTATACTGCTAATGCTTTATCATCTACCGTACCAATCGAGACCTTATTTAAGTTCTTATGTACTAAATATATGAAACATAGTATGTAGATGCATTTTAAAATACAATACACAAGTCACATCTAAATATATCAATATAACAAAAATTGGAGAAAAAATTGTTTTAAAATAATATTAATAATATAATATTTTACTTATGTTTATAAATATATATAAAATAATTATTAGATTATGATATTAATGATCTGTAAAAAATATTATTTCGAAAATAAAGTGGATCAACTTGGGAAAAAAT